CGTGTGCGCACATGGGCGTTCTGACTCGCATCCTGACGACTCCTGTCCACCAGTATCCACGCCCTGTAGCGTATGCTGTTCTAGCCCAGCGCCACTCCAGTGGTCGTGGATGTCTTCGAACGGGTCGTGGTCTGCTTCGTCCACGTAGTTTGTCGGGTATGCTTCGGGGTCGTTGGCTGGTGCAGTCGTCCACCCCAACGGTCGAAGTGTTTCCCATCGTAGGTTGTCGGCTTCGTCGATCGTTGCGTCAGCGGTGTCTTCTGGTGGTGTCGTTGCGTGTGTAGCTGGGTATTCACTTGTTCTTCTTTGTCGTTTCTCCTTCTTCTTGTTCTTGGCTATTGGTTTTGGTTTCGGTCGGGGTGGGTGGTGGAATGGTCGCGGTATTTGTAGTCGTCTGCTCTCGTTGGCTTCTGCCGCTGTGCGTATGGTTATGACCAGTCTCGCACGTGGCATCCATGGAGCGTCGAATATCGGTCTTACTTCTCGCATTAGTCTCTGCCTTTCGTTGGTCGGCGCGGAATCGATGTCGGGGCGCGCCTCGCCAAGGTTGCAGGCGTGCTGGTCGTCTAGGGTGCCTATGACGCTGGTTGCTCCGAGCGCTGCTGGCCACCCTGTCTTCTCGAACTCGTGGTGGGTCATGTTGAAGTCCCCGCAGACTAGCCACGGCATGGGGGGGGGGGCAAGGCATGGGGCCAGCGTCGTCAACTCGCGGGCGTTCACGCCGTGCTGCGCGCTGCTCTCCGGGTCGAGGTGGATGGAGATGATCACCCGAGATGCCCCCTTCAGGTGCAGCGCGACTCGTGCCCAGTCGCACATGTCGGGGTCCCTTTTTCTCGTCGGTTGCTGCGCGTGTTGGAGACGATCTCTGGCTTTGCGCGGTGCTTACATGATGTCACATTCAGGTGTCCCTTGGTGAGGACAGCTGGGCCACCTCTGGTGCCCGATATGTTTTTCTTGCTTCTCTGTGATGCTGTAAAAGTGCTCGCAAAGCCCGCCTCCTGCAAGTCGCGTTCCACGGAATCTATCCTTGCCCGAGGGATGTGCGTCTCCTGCAGCGCGTGGACGTCGCGCCCTTCGCGTAGCCCATCGCGTCGCATCCGGCTCGTCACCTCGGGCCCCCACGTAGTGATGTTGGCGAAAAAGATGGTGCGGCCCAGGGGCTCAGCGTCGCCAATTGGTCGCCTGTCCGCCCGCTGTATTTCCTAGGGGTCGTCAGGAAGGGCCGCCTCGCCCTTCCCAACAGCCGCTGACCTGCGGCGCTCGAGAAACTCCTCCGCCTCGCTCTTGTTGGCGCTCTCGTCGGCATCGACCTCGACGCATGCGCTTGCTGCAGTCGCCGCCTTCGGTGGCGCTGCTGATGCCGCCGATGCCGATCCGTCTGTCGTGTCCATCTCCTTCCGGGTGTTTACTTATTGGTCTGCCTTTCTCTTCTTGTACGCCTGCGCGATGTTCGTTCGGTTATCCTCTGCCTTTGCTTTTGCTTGTTGTAGATGCTCTGCTAGTTGGCCTTTGACGGTGCGCGCCGTCCTCTTGGGCTCTTCAAGCACTTGCTTCTTTGCGTTGCCCACCGCCGCGCGTCCCTCTGCGTCCATATCTTCGTCGCATTTGAAATGCTCTTCCAGCTCTGCGAACTCCAGCTCGGACGGGTGCGCGATCTCCGTGCCTGCTTCGAAAATGGCGTCGAAGATGCCCCTGTTGCACTTCTCTTCGCCCTCCGCGTGCATGTCCTCGATGAGCTGATCCGCCTTCAGGACTTCGCCGGCCCTCAGATTGAGCGTCTCGTTTGATATATTCGCCTTGTCGTCGGCCTGCTTCTTCGCTTCGAAGGTCCAGTTGTAGAGCTCGTTGTAGTGTTCCAGGGACTTCGCCGCGCCAGCAAGTCTCAGCGCCCTTGACTTGGATGGCTTTGTCTGTTCATCTTCTGCCGCGCGTTGGGTCTCCTTAGTCGCGCCCTCCAGCTGCTTGGCTAAGCCGTCCTTGTCTTGTGTGACTATCTTCATGGCTCCGAGCGTGCTCGAGACCGTCTTCAGCGCGGTGGCTAGCTGGTCCATGTCCTTGTTCAGTTTGCCAATGGGTATTGAGTCTCCGTTGGCCTTGTCATAACTGCCGTAGCTGCTGCTGCTGTAACTGCTGCTGCTGCCGCTATCGCCTCGCTCTGCTCCGTGATATGTCCAACTCTTCGGGCGGGCGATGCGGCAGTCACAGTCGCGCCAGAAATCGTTCTCGTACAGCTGCTTGTGCCAATGCCACTTCTGGCATCGTTTGCAGCTGCTCCAGTCGTCCTGCTTGGCGGGCGGCATGCTGCCGTGGTGGACTTCCAGCAGCTGTCTCGCCCTCTCAGTCTTCAGCCACCTGCGGGCCTCTCCTCTCGCGCGCCTGAGGCGCCTGTGCCAGGCGGGAGAAGGTGGCCTCTTCAGGCCGCGTCGGCCCTCCGTGGGCCCGGGGGCTCCCGATGGCGCGGGCCCCGCGGCGCCGCCCGCGGGCAAGACGGCTGCGCGGGGGAGGGGCGGGGCCTCGCTGGGGAGCCACCTAGAAAGAGGAGGAGGAAAAGGGGGGGGGAGGAGGAGGAGGAGGAGGAAGGAGGAGGAGGAGGAGGAGGAGGAGGAGGAGAGGAGGAGCAAGAAGAGAGGAGGGGGGGAGGACTTCGGAACTCGGAAAATCGCAGGAGGATGCCCGAGGCCATCGTTGCCAGGGGTGTGCGCTACGCTGAAGACGCCGTGCAGACCAGGATGGGGGAGGAGGAGGAGGAGGAGGAGGAGGAGGAGGAGGAGGAGGAGGAGGAGAAGGAGGAGGAGGAGGAGGAGGAAGAGGAGGAGGAAGGAAGAGGAGGAGGAGGAGGGGGCGGTGGAGGAGGAGGAGGTAGACGATGAGCATGACAAGGAGGAGAGGCAGGAGGAGGAGGAAAAGGAGGATGAGAAAGAGGAGGAGGAAGGGGAGGACAAGGAGGAAGAGCACAAGGAGGAGAAGGAGAAAGAGGATGCGGAGGAGATGCGTGAGAAGGAGGAGGAGAAGGAGAAGGAGGAGCAGGGGGAGGAGGAGGAGGAGGAGGAGGAGGAGGAGAAAAGGGGGACGAGAAGGAGAGGGAGGAGGAGGAGGAAGAACAGGCGGAGGAACATGATGATGATGATGATGAGGAGGAGGAGGAGGAAAAACAAGACGAGGGGGAGGATGAGGATGAGGATGGGGATGAGGAGAAGGAGGAGGAGGAGGAGGAGAAGGAGAATAACCATGAGGAGGAGGAGGGGGAGGGGGAGGAGGAGGAGGAGGAGGAAGAGGAAAAGGAGGAGGAAGAGGAGGAGGCGGAGGCGGAGGAGGAAAAGGAGGAGGAGGAGGAGGAGCAGGAGACAGAGGAGGAGGAGCACGAGGAGGAGAATGAGAAGGAGGAAAAGGAGGAAACGGAGGAGGATGAGGAGCAGGGGGACAAGGACGAGGAGGGGGAGGAGAAGGAGGAGGAGATGCTGGAGTATCAGTAGCAGTAGCAGTAGCAGTAGTAGTAGTAGTAGTAGTAGTAGTAGTAGTAGCAGTAGCCGCAGTAGTATCAATAGTAGCAGTAGCAGTAGCAGTAGCAGTAGCAGTAGTAGTAGTAGCAGTAGTAGCAGTAGTAGTAGTAGTAAAAAGTGGTAGTGGCAGTAGTAGTAGTAGTAGTAGTCGTAGTAGCAGTAGTAGTAGTAGTGGTAGTAGTAGTAGTAGTGATAGTAGACGTGGTAGTAGTAGTAGTAGTAGTAGGAGTAGTAGTAGTAGTAGTAGTAGTAGGTCGTAATAGTAGCAATAGTACTGGTACTAGTACTACTACTGCTACTACTACTACTACTACTACTACTACTACTACTACTAGTACTACTAGTAGTGCTAGTAGTACTAGTAGTACCAGTAGTACTGGTAGTACGAGTGCTAACAGTAGTAGTAGTAGTAGTAGTAGTAGTAGCAGTAGTAGTAGCTAGTAGTAGTAGTAGTAGTTAGTAGTTAGTAGTGTAGTAGTAGTAGTAGTAAGTGGTAGTAGTGGTTGTGGTAGTATTCGTTAATAGTACTAGTACTAGTAGTAGTAGTAGTAGTGGTAGTCGTCGTCGTTTAGTGTCAGTAGTAGTAGTAATAATAATCGTAATGTAGTAGTAGGTAGTAGTAGTAGTCGTAGTATAGTAGTAGTAGTAGCAATCGTAGTAGTTTAGTCGTTAGTCTAGTAATAGTAGTGTAGTAGTGGTAGTAGTAGGAGTAGTAGTTAGTAGTAGTAGTATTTAGTAGTAGTAGCAGCAATAGTAGTAGTAGTAGTAGTAGTAGTATGTAGTAGTAGTAGTAGTAGTAGTAGTAGTAGTAGTAGTAGTGGTAATGGTAGTCGTAGTCGTAGTAGTAGTAGTAGTAGTAGTAGTAGTAGTAATCGTAGTAATAGTAGTAGTAGTAGTAGTAGTAGTAGTAGTAGTAGTAGTAGTAGTAGTAGTAGTAGTAGTAGTAGTAGTAGTAGTAGTAGTAGTGGTAGTTAGTAGTAGTAGTAGTAGTAGTAGTAGTAGTAGTAGTAGTAGTAGTAGTAGTAGTAGTAGTAGTAGTAGTAGTAGTAGTAGTAGTAGTAGTAGTAGTAGTAGTAGTAGTAGTAGTAGTAGTAGTAGTAGTAGTAGTAGTAGTAGTAGTAGTAGTAGTAGTAGTAGTAGTAGTAGTAGTAGTAGTAGTAGTAGTAGTAGTAGTAGTAGTAGTAATCGTAGTAGTAGGAGTAGTAGTTGTCGTAGTCGTCGTCCTCGTCCTCGTTGTCGTCGCCGTCGTAGCAGTGGTGGTAGAAGTGGCAGTATTCTTTGCAGTTGCAGCGGTAGTAAGTAGAACGCGCGCAGGGTTAGTGGCTTGGTAGCAGTGGAAACATAAGCAGAAGAGGCAATTGTTGTCGCCGGGGTAGTGGTAGTGGTGGTAGTGGTGGTGGTAGTGGTAGCGGTAGTTGGGGTGGTGGCATGAGTCGGTGGAGGAGGAGGAGGAGGTGGGGTCATTATCAGGAAGAGGACGGGGATTTCCTCCTCCCTGCCAGGTCTGCACTCAGCCGATGAGGTCGCAGGCCCTGAGCGACCAGAAGCGCCGGAAACTTGGCGGGCGCGGGTCCGCCAACAGCCTCCCGCCTTCTCTCGGGCGGGGTTGAACCCAGGCCTCCGACACCGCGATATTTTCATAATGTGGGCCCCCGAACTCTCGACATCATAGAGGTGTCTGGTTCTTGTTAGCTGGGTAATGTTTGCGTGGTCCTGGGGCTCGAGTGGCCATTTCCTCGTCTCAAGCCTTGGCGCTACAGGCGAAAGCTCGAAGCTCTATCCTCTCTTCGTCCGCCCTCAAAGTCGAACGCCTACGAGTAGCACGACACACGAGCTGCGGGAGGCCTGCGCCGATACCTGGGGTCGGCTCTGGGCACCCCGCCCCAGGCGCGCTTCGCGCCCCAGGCAGGGGAGGGGGGGGGGGGTGGGGTCCCAGCACGCCAATCCACGAAGTCCGCGCGGGGTGTCCGCAAGTTGATGTTTATGCAGTTTGCTTCTTGTCTGCGACGCCCGTCGTCGGCGGCCTCAGCTCGACGGCGGCCGTCGGCGTCGCCTCTCGGCGGCCCTCGGGCGGCCGTCGGCCAGGCCGTCGGCGGCGTCGTCGTCGTCGTGGTCCTCGTGGTCGTGGTCGTGGTCGTGGTCGTGGTCGTGGTCGTCGTCGTCGTCGTCGCCGTCGTCGTTGTCGTCTTCCTGCCGGAGGGGCTGGTGCCGTCGAGGTGCCCCTCCGTGGCTCGAGGCAGGCCGCCCGAGCAGCCCTGCCCGAGGCGGTCCCTGCCGCCGCGGAGCTTTCGATCGGCGCCCTCTGCGCAGCAGGCCTCTCGCGCCGCCGTCGACCACCGCAGACCAGGCCGCAGCCTCGGTGGCAGCACCGCGCAGCCCCGCCGTGCCCGCGGCTGGCAGGTCGTCCTCGCCCTCGTCGCCGTCCTCCTGGATGGAGCCCCTTCTTGACCGTCGGCGGCGTCGTCGTGGTCGTCGTGGTCGTAGTCGTGGTCGTGGTCGTGGTCGTGGTCGTGGTCTTGGTCGTGGTCGTGGTTGTGGTCGGCGTCGTCTTCCTCGCCGTCGTCGTCGTCGTCCTCGTCGTCGTCGTCGTCGTCGTCCTCGTCGTCGTCGTCGTCGTCGTCGTCGTCCTCGTCGTCGTCGTCGTCGTCCTCGTCGTCGTCGTCGTCGTCGTCGTCGTCGTCGTCCTCGTCCTCGTCCCCCGAGGCGCCCTCCGCGGGGACGCCGGCCGCGGGGGCGGGGGACACCCCGTCGCGCGAGAGCGCGTCCTCTCGGCCGCTCCCCCGCGGGGGGGGGAGGGGAGGCCAGCTGTGGGATGCGCTGCTGGAGGCCGATCGCCTGGAGGAGCGGCTCTGGGCGGGGGGCGTCGGGGCATCATCATCATCATCATCATCATCATCATCATCATCATCATCATCATCATCATCATCATCATCATCATCATCAGCATCAGCATCAGCATCAGCATCAGCATCATCATCAGCATCAGCATCAGCATCAGCATCAGCATCATCATCAGCATCATCATCATCAGCATCATCAGCATCATCAGCATCAGCATCAGCATCAGCATCATCAGCATCAGCATCAGCATCAGCATCAGCATCATCATCATCATCATCACCATCAGCATCATCAGCATCAGCATCAACATCATCATCATCATCACCCACATAAGCAACATCATCATCACCAACAACAGCATGAACAACAACTTCATCCTCATCCTCATCATCATCACCACCACCATCATCATCAACAACATCATCACCATCTTTATACAGTCAAGGCGGTGGAAGACGGAGCAGTTCTGGTTCGGACGAAGCTCGCTGTTCCTGCGGTGCTTCCATGGCTGTTCTGTTCCTTTAGACTAAAGGCTTTGGTCCTCCTCATGCACGCAGGCGCTTTTTTGGTGCCAACAAGGGGCTCCGTTCCTGATTTCGCGTTCCTTGTTTCAGCAGCTCGACTGTTGGATGTGCACCACGGAGGACGACGGCGACGGCGACGGCGACAGCGATGACGACGGGGGGAGGGAGAAAGAGGAGTGATAAGGGAGGAGGAGGAGGAGGAGGAAGGATGAGGAGAAGGAGGAGGAGGAGGCGGAGGAAGAGCAGGAAAGGGAGAAGGAAGGCGTTCTGCCGTAGCAGGTCGCTACAGTTCTTCGGGCTCTGCGTAGGGGATCCTTATAGGTATCTGCTATCCGAGCTGTCTTTGGTCATTCTTGGGCATTCGCAGACGGCGCCGGCGCAGAACGCGACGTTACCAGCCCCCTCCTCCCGCTTCCCCCTGGTCGCACCCATTCTCGCCCGGGAATAAAAAGACGATATCCTATTCAGGTTGGCAGGAGCGGGAGCACATGGGGGGAAGGAGGAGGGGCAGAGGGTGATGAGGGATGGAAATCCTCAGAATTTGTTCCTGGGGACCTTCCCGAAGAAAGCCTCGTAGCCATGCGCCGGCCAAGTCGGTCCACCTCTGGAGCGGTCGCCCACGGTGGCGCGCCCGGGAAGGTCGCCAATCATAGGGTACATAACGGAATTGTGAAGCAACGCCGCGTTCGATTCGTTGGACTAGCGAGTCTCTCTGTTCGTTGCGTCTGGTGCTCCAATCTGTGATGGGATGTTGCTTCAACGGCGCTTCCAGCCAGCGTTTCGCGCGGTGGCCAGTAAGCTGCCATGCCTCGTCGTCAAATCGCACCCACCTTGCAATGCGCCTCCACACTTCCCTCTGCGGCTCGTCCAGGCTGTCGAGGTCTTTCTGAGTGAGGGGTTTCGTGGTCAGGATGTAAAGTGCAGACGGTGTCACCATTGAGTCGAACAAGCGCAACCGCAATTCGATCGGCACGCTGCGGTTCCGAAGCCTCGCTGCAAAATTGTAGGGTTTCGTCCAGCCACCATTTCGCCTACGTTCCAGGGTTGCACTTACCTCGCGCCCTCAGATCGCCGCTCAGTAGCCGCCCCAGGTATTTGTTTGTTTATTTGCTTGTTTGTTTGTGTGTGTGTGTGTGTGACCGCGTGCTTAACAACCTCGACCATCCCACCGCCGGCATCAAGCCAGGGTGGGGCCCCGTTTTGCTGCAACGTTGACGTTTGTTGTCAAAATCTTTGTCCTCCAGGCGTTGACGGACAGACCAGCCTGCGTTCAACTCCCCCACGAGGCAATCGAACACGAACAATTGCAGCCTGGAGAGACCGCGCACACAGGCAAGAGATCGTTTGCACATCTTATGCTGGTCAAGCGTTCGCTCTCTGGGCTGAGCAGGAGACCGCGACTGCGCAGCCGAGCCTTCCAACGCCCCATTACCGCCTCCAGCGCAGCATTGAACAGCACGGGACTCATTACATCGCCTTGTCTGACACCACTTTCTGCCTCGATGTTTCATCTCGTGTGTCCGCAGCGCGACGGCAATTGTCGCCGAGGATGGCCGCAGCAGTCGTGTCTGGCTGTGTCTTGCCGGTAGTCGGCCGCATTCATCTCGCCTCTTGTTTTCCCCCCCCCTCTCTCTCCGTCTCTCTCTCTCTCTCTCTCCTCCCCGTCCTCCTCTTTCTTTTCGGCTTGTTTTAGCATGGTAGAGTCGCCTTCCCATCTCTTGGGAAGCCGCGGCGCCCACACCGAGCAGGGTTGGCGGCGGACTCGGCGGGAGAGTGATGTAACGCGCCTCGGGTCCTTCGCGCGGCGCCTTGGGGAGCTGCCAGGAGGAGTTGGAATGAGGGCGGATGGCGGGTGGAAGAGGGATGGGGGAGAGGGAGGCTGGAGGAGGAGTTCGGAGCAGGAGGAGGAGTCGGAGGCGGAGGCGGAAGCGGAGGCGAAGGCGGAGGCGGAGGCGGAGGCAGAGGCGGAGGAGGAGGCGGAGGAGTCGGAGTCGGAGTCGGAGTCGGAGTCGGAGTCGGAGTCGGAGTCGGAGTCGGAGTCGGAGTCGGAGTCGGAGTCGAAGTCGGAGTCGGAGTCGGAATCGGAGTCGGAGTCGCAGTCGCAGTCGGAGTCGGAGGCAAGGAGGAGGAGGAGGAGGAGGGGGAGGAAGAGGAGGAGGGATGGTGATGAGCAGCAGCAGGAGGCCGAGCAGCAGTAGGATAATGATGATGATGCTGATGATGATGATGATGATGATGATGATGATGATGATGATGATGATGATGATGATGATGATGAGGAGGAGGCGAAAAGATAAGGACGGATGATGATGCAGGGGGACAGGAGGAAGAGCAGCAGGAGGAAGCATGAGGAGGACGAGGAGGAGGAGGACCAGTGTAAACCCACGACTCGCCAACGATGTTGCAATACATCTTCCCTCGGAGTCCCCTCTTTCATAGGTCGCTACTAAGAGTTGTTTTCACTGAGGGACGTGTCTCGTTGAAAGACAACCGTTCGAACATCATGAACAGTGCCGAAACACCAGTCCTGGGACTTCAACGCCGCGAATCAACATTACTGTTGCGCTGCGGCGATCCTGATCCTTGCCAGAACACCATCCGTGGGACGTCAACACCGCGAATCAATTTGACTGTTGCGCCCTGACAGTCCGGCACCTTGCCAAAAACACCATTTTTGGGACGTCAACCGTAAGGGCCCTTGAAGCTGTTGTACAGGATCCGCCCTCCATCCGTGACGCTCTGGCGCACTTTCATGACGAATGTGCGCGGCGCTGAAGCGAAGGCCACATTTTGAAGAGGAGCAGCCCTCCGTCAGTGTTTTTTTTGCAGGCCGTTAGGATGGCTGTGCGCGGCGCTGAGGCGAGAGTCGCATCTGGAAAAGGAACCGCCATCCACCCGTCCGTGAAAATACAGTGCCGTTTTTAATACATGCTCCGCGTGCGGATCATGTATTTAAAGTGCAGGGACTTAGTCTTAAAAACAACGATGAGCTCATGCATAAATCAATTCATAAATTAATCACGTAGGACAAATTACATATTTTTAAATATCCTATGTATTGTACACTGCCCTGTATTGTAGCGCGGAGTCGAGAGGCACATTTGGGAAAGGACCCGCCCTCCATGCGTCGAGTTCCTGCAGGCCGTTGCGGCGACCGTGCGCGGCGCCCGGGTGTCGAGAGCCACACGCTGCAAAGGAACCGCCCCGCAGCCGTGAAGCTGTTGCACGTCCGAAGCTTCGGGATGCCGTGCCAGGCGAGACGCCCGGCCCGCCCTACCGACACGTCTCGGGGCGCGACAGGGGGGAGGTGTCGTAAAGGAAGAGGCAAGAGGAGGAGGTAGGAGGAGGTAGGAGGATGAGGAGGAGGAGGAGGAGGAGGAGGAGGAGGAGGAGAGGAGGAGGAGGAGGAGGAGGAGGAGGAGGAGGCAGGAGGCAGGAGGCAGGAGGAGGAGGAGGAGGAGGAGGAGGAGGAGGAGGAGCAGGCAGGAGGAGGGAGGAGGAGGAGGATGGAGGGTGGAGGATGGAGGATAGAGGACGAGGGTGGAGGAGGAGGAGGAAGGAGGCAGGAGGGCGGTGACCAGCAGGGGAGGGAGGACCTGGACGAGAATGCCGTGTCCGAGGCCGCGCAGCTGGTCGACGACGAGCTGGGTGGAAGCCCCGTGTGCCCCTCTGCTCGCGGCGGAGGGGGAGGGGGGGGAGGACGGAGGCAGGGGAAGGGGAGGGGGGGGGAGGGGAAGGGAGGGGAGGGGGGAGAGGGGAGGAGGAGGAGGGGAGGAAGGGAGGATGGAAGGGGGGAGAGGAGGAGGAGGAGGAGGAGGAGGAGGAGGAGGAGGAGGAGGAGGAGGAGGAGGAGGAGGAGGAGGAGGAGCAAGGAGGAGGAGGAGGAGGAGAAGGAGGGAGTGAGGGAGGGAGGGAGGCAGGGTTGAGGAAGGAGCTTGAAGAGGGACCATGCAAGAGGATGATGAGGAGAAGGAGAAGGCGGAGGATGAGAGACGATGTCGATGATGGTGATGATGATGACGACGATGACGATGACGATGATGATGATGATGATGATGATGATGATGATGATGATGATGATGATGATGATGATGATGACGATGATGATGATGATGATGGTGGTGGTGGTGGTGATAATGACGATGATGGTGGTGATGATGGTGTTGATGCTGCTGCTGCTGATGATGATGATTATGGTGATGATAGTGGTGATGTTGTTGGTGGTGGTGATGCTGATGACGATGCTGTTGTTGGTGATGATGGTGGTGATGCTGATGATTAGGTTTGTCGTGGTAGTGGTGGTGGTGGATAACAGCGACGACGATGGCGATGATGATGCTGATGCTGACGCGGACGCTGCTGCTGATGATGATGCTGATGATGCTGATGCTGCTGATGGTGTTGGCGACACGTATAGTGCTGCTGAGGATGATGGCTGTGAAGCTGCTGATTGTGCTGACTGCTGATGCTGCTGCTGATGATATCGATAATGATGATGCTGATGGCAATGATCATGATGATGATGATAATGATGATTATGATGATGATGACAACGACGATGATGCTGATCATGCTGATGATTATACTGATGCTGATGATGCTAATGATGATGGTGATGATGATGCTGAGGATGACGATGCCGATGACGATGCTGATGATGACGAGGATGCGGATGCGGATGCTGATGTTGATGATGATGATGACGATGCTGTCGCGAATGCTGCTGACGATGACGACGACGATGACGACAGCGATGCCGCTGCTGCTGCTGACGACGACGCCGATGACGATTACGCTGATGATGATGTTGCTGGTGCTTATGATGATGACGATGATGGTGCGGCTGATGCTCATGATGCTGATGATGTTGATGATGCTGGTGATGGTGATGATGATGCTGATGACGATGATGCTGATGATGGCGACGCGTACAACACTGCTGATTATGATGGTGCTGAAGCTGGTGACGGTGCTGACTGCTGATGCTATTGTTCATGCTGTCGATGATGATGCTGATCTTGCTGCTGCTGATGATGATGATGACGATGATGCTGATGATGCTGCTCATGCTGGTGATCACGATGAGGCTGGACACTGATGCTGATGTAGGTGCTCCTGATAATGCTGATGACGTCGACGATGACGATTATACCGATGATGATATGTATGGTTGTGTATGTACTGCTGTGACGGTGATGTTGGTGATGCTGACGGTGATGCTGATGATGATGCTGATGATGATGATGACGATGCTGCTGATGATGATGATGCTGATGATGACGGTGATGATGCTGCTGCTGATGATGATGATGATGCGGCTGCGGATGATGGGGGTAACGGTGTCGAGGATGATGATGGCGATCCGTACGAGTCTGAAGATGACGAGGAATTATGCTTACTGTGATGATGTTGATGCTGATGATGACGATGACGATGCTGACGACGATGATGATGATGATGCTGATGATGATGCTGATGCTGATGATGATGATGATGATGATGATGGTGATGAGGATGATGAAGATGATGATGATGATGCTGATGCTGATGATGACGTTGACGATGCTGATGCTGATGATGATGCTGCTGATTATGATGATGCTGCTGTCGCTGCTGCTGCTGATGATTATGATGCTGATGACGGTGATGATGATGAGAAGGCACATCATGATGATGACGCTGATGACGATGCTGACAATGATGGTGGTGATGATGATAAGTATGATGATTATGACGATGATGATGATGATAATGATGCTGATGCTGATGATGAGGTTGATGTTGCTGCTGCTTACGATGATGCTGCTGCTGCTGATGATGCTGATAATGATTGATGATGCTGATGTTGATGATGCTGCTGTTGATGAGGGCGTCGATGATGATGACGACGATGATGATGGTGCTGATGACGATGATGATGCTGCTGATGATGCCGATGATGCTGATGATGCTGATGATGATGATGCTGAGGATGATGAGGAGGAGGATGAGCAGGAGTGGGGGCGCGTTTTGTTGCATGACGCAGGACCAGTGGCGGGTGTGGTCCTCCGCAGTGCTCCCAGGAGTCGGGCGAGTCGTGCTCGACTTACATGCCCTTTCTAAACATGGCATGCGGGGAAGACACTTGGCTTTTGATGAGGGTGGGGAGGGGGGGGACGCTCCGATAGGATTCAGGATGTGGCCCCAGTCGAACGATTTGGAGACGGCCTATCCTGCCACTTCCCCCTGATTGGCCCCAGGGCTGTCGCGCTCCATCCCAAAGGATCGTGGCGCTCATTCAGGTAAGAGGTAAGAGTTAGATGAGAGAGGCGGACGACGAATCATAGGAGTGCGCGGTTCCCCCCTCCTGTTCCTGCTCCTCGCACTTCCTCTTCCTCGTCCTCTTCCTCCGCCTCATCATGAAGGCAGAGCGCGTGTACGTATATGTACATGTATATATACACATAACTCTGTGTGTATGTCTGTCTGCCTGTCTGTCTGTCTGTCTGTCTGTCTGTCTGTCTGTCTGTCTGCTTGTCTGTCTGTCTGTCTGTCTGTCTATCTGTCTGCCTGTATGTATGTATGTATGTATGTGTATGTATAGATGTGAACGTATATGTATGTACGTATGTATGCATATCTGTCTGTCTGTATGTATGCCTGTATGTATGTGTGTATGCATGTATGTATGTATGCATGCATGTATGTATGTATGTATGCATGTATATATGTTATGTTATGTTATGCTATGTATGTGTGTATGTATGCATGCATGCATGTATATGTAATGTAATGTAATGGAATGTAGTGTCATGTAATGTAATGTAATGTAATGTAATGCAATGCGATGTAATGTAATGTAATGTAATGTAATGTAATGTAATGTAAGTAAGTAAGTATGTATGTATGTATGTATGTAGGTGTGTAGGTGTGCATATATATATAAAATAATAATAATACCGCTAATAATAATTCTTCTTCTTCTTATTATTATTATTATCATCATCATTATTATTATTATTGTTTATATATATATAATATATATATATATATATATATATATATATATATATATATATATATATATCCCCGCGCACGAGGCCCAGGGGCCCGGGGACCGAGCCTCGACAGCGCATGGCAGGACCGGGCCCTCCGAGACCGCTCCCAGTGCACCCCGGAGCGGCCCTGGAGTTCCCAGACTGCCCCTGGGAGCTCCAAGACGTTCCCAGAAGTCCCCGGGGGACTTCGACAAGCCCCTCCAAGACAGCCCAGATAGCCCCAACGTGGCCCAAGATGGGCTCGGGACGGCAAATACACAGCCCAAGAGGCCTCGAAGAGGCCTCAAGAGAGCTCCGAGAGGCGTCCCGAGAGAGCCCGAAGAGGCCCAAATTCTTGATTTCCATTGTTTTTCAATGTTTTCTGCTTTTCTCGCGTTCTCGAGCTTCCAACGCTCCAAGACGGCCGAAGACGCTCCGAAGATCGCCCCAAAACCGCCGAAGAGGCTCCAAAAAGAGCCCGAAGACGTTGAAAAGACCCCCAAAAGAGTCCCAAAACGGCCCCAGAGAACTCGAAAATTGCACAGGAGGAGCCCCAGACAGCCCAAAAGGCCCCAGGACATGCCCAAGATGGGCCACAGCGGGAGCGGTAGGCCCCATGGCGTTCGAAGACAGCCGAGATGGCCCGTGCCTCCCTCCTCCGTCCCTCCTTCCCTACTCCCGCCCCCTCCCCTTGCCTCCATTCCCTCCTCTCTCCCCTCTTCCTCCCCTTAACCTCAGCTTTCGTGCTCCTCCCTCCTCTCCTGGGACGGCTCCGCCAGAGCGCCAGACAGGCCCCGCCAGAGCGAGCGGGGCATCGCTATACCCTATCATTTCACAAGTTGCTTTGCCCCTTCCACCCCTCAAGGGCGGCCCCGGTAGAGCGAGAGGGGTGTTGCTATACCATGTGCAGTCCCTGTTTTGCTTGCTCCTCCCACCGCACCCGAGGTAGCCCTGTCAGAGCGCACAGGGGGGGGGGCTATACCATGCTTTTCCTGAGGTTTCGTGTTCCTCCCTCCCCTCCTGGGCAAGCCCCGCCAGAACGCCAGGGAAACACCCGCCAGAGAGAGAGCAGGATATCAGTACACCATTTTCTTTCACGCGATTCTTGCCCCTCCCACCATTGCAGGGCGGACCCGCCCGAGCGAGCGGGGTGTGGCTATACTTTGCAATTTCGCAGGTTTCGTGCCCCTCCCTCACCTCCTGAAAAAGGCCTCGCCGGAGCGCCAAGAACGCACCGCCAGAGGCCCCGTCGGAGCTCCAGGCAACCCCATACATGGGCCTTGCCAGGAAAATCATTGAGCATCCCCTGTGAGCCCGAACCTTCTCATCCCACGGTTGCGATTATCGCCGGCATGAGGTTTGGCGTCCAGCAGAAAGAAATTTTCCCATTCCCGTGGACGGACTCGACAACAACTGTTTGTAGAGAAGGACACTGGTGACCGGGACATTTGCGCTCGCCGTCGGCAGATACCCGACCGCTGAACGACCGCTGGAAACGATAAACTTGGACCACAAGAATCACCACCCACCAGACCACCCCAACCCAACCCGAAGGCTCAGATTTACCCTCGATTTCCAGTGGGGGGGGTTCGGGAAACATAGAAAAAACACATGTGGAACCCTTACCCCCCCCAACCCGAAAT